CTTATTTATAATTAATAATGTATTATGAAATGTATTTTTCCAAATTAAATCTAAAAAGAATTTTTTATTGATTTATTCAATTTAAGAATGTAATTGATAAGTTATTTAAAAAAAAAAAAAAACTTTTATGAGAATTATAATATTAAAAAATAAATTGAATGATTGTTTTTAATATAATGTAGAATAGATGGAGATGTCATAAGGCGCCATGAAAAACGATCCACATTACAACGGTACTAGAAATTTAAGATTTGATAATACGGCACAAAATTTCAGAACTTTTAAGAAATCTTGTGGAATAATAAAGCGCCTGGTTCTCTCAGAAAAAGATTCAAGTTTCAGCAGCATATAAATTAGCAAAAATTCAGAACATAAGGACAAAATGTTAAGTCTTGAAAGAAGGTTGTTCATGAGAAGTGAAATCAAGTTAAGTCAGAACTGAAGAGTTCAAATTTCATGTCGTTAAGTGTTGAACAAGAATTTGATCACATATTTTGTATATTATTTTATTACTCTAAAAATATTTTTGTTAATTATTAATTAGATTTTATTTTGTACATTTGACGAGAAAACATGCTTTATTTGGACTAGTAAATTGAAGACCAAGTGAAGTGGAGCCAAGAGGAATTAGGAGGAGAATGTGTGAGAAGAATAAATTGAAGAGACCAAAGTGAAATTCGCCCTACAATTTCAAATGCTTGCACGTTGCACGGGATGGAAGGAAGTATGGGACTGTAGACTTGCATTTAACAAGTGGGCCTATGTGTTTATTAAAATTACTTTTCTAAACCACGGTTAGGATTGATAAATGATTTCCTCTAACATACAACTATACTTACTCACAATCTTATTAACCATCTTACTATCCTAATAAATATACGGCATAGTACGGGTACTATGCAATAGTACCCGTACTATACCCGTTAATTATCAGGATAGTAAGATGTTAGTAAGATTGTGAGTGAGTATAGCATTACTCAATTATAATCACGGGCTGTTGAAATAATATATCTTTAGAATGACTGATATAAGTTATAGCGGCTAATTTGTGTTACTCTTGAAACATGTGGATGCACTATTGGTATTGGATTCTAACCCTGGCGTGGTTGTATAATTAGTGAAGAGAATGCTATACTCACTCACAATTTACTAACCATCTTACTATCCTGAAATATAACGGTATAGTAACGGGTACTATACGCATAGTACCCGTACTATGCCATTTATTTATTAGGTAGAGATGGTTAAAGATTGTGAGTAAGTATAGTTTTATTGTTTAATTTAATCACTCAAAAAAAGTAATAATAAAAAACTCGAGGAAACTATTATGTTATAAAAAAGATTGTCATATACTAATGCTATAAAACGGAGACTATGCTCGGACTAAGCACATCAAAATTGATGTGCATTACGTCCGAGACTTGGTTCTCTCAAAGAGGTTAGCTGTTCAGTACATAGCCAGTGAATTTCAGATTGCAGACATTCTTACAAAACCTCTGCCTATCACACGTTTTCAAATGTTGTGTGATAAAATACGCTTGATCTCTCTCATTCGTTTTAGGGAGGACACACAATCAAATATCAACTGTCCTATGAGTTTCAGGGAGGACATTCTGTCTCCTACTTTCTTCTACAACGAGTTAACCCCTTCAAGTAATACCTCAGATCACAACTAAACTTGTAAGTCGTCTGTTCTTCAAACTTTCCCAGCTTACTGCTGCTCAGTTTGAGGGAAGATATTACAGTGCAAAGGTACGTGCATGTACAGCATGGCATAAGTAGTAACAGTTACTCATCTCACCACGTACATTGGCAAACCGATCAGTTACAACTGATACTATCAACTTGAGTCTGCAACTTGATTCTGTTACAACCAGATTATTGTTACAGCCGTTGCTGAAACTAATTCTGCAACTTAATGAACTCTGTTATAGCCATTGCTGAAACTAATTCTGCAACTTGATGAACTCTGTTACAGCCGTTGCTGAAACTAATTTTGCAACTTGATTACGTTATGTTTTAGCTTGATTCAGTTAAGATTTAGAACTTGTATAAATAAGCATTGCATGTATAGCAAATTGTAATTTTTCTCTTTCAAAATCAGCTTATAAAAGAATATTTCTTCAGCAAGTTTTCCTTACTCTGTTTTTCTGTCAGTTTTTTGTTTCTTCTTCTCTGGAAAGTTTTGCAACTTTCTTTTCACGATTCTAGGACTCTTTCAAATGTCGATGAATAGAGGGGAATTTAGGGAAAACTTTTCTTCATTGATACAACTCACATCATTACTGTACAATGTTTTATATTATATTAAAATAAATTAACTCAACTAACTAGTTAACTAACTCAAGTTAACTAACTGACTTAAGTAAGTAACCAACTAACTAACTGAACTGGCTGAACTGATACAGTAGCTAAGCTAACAGTAGCTTCATACAACTGACCTAAAACAACTATTTAACACCCCTCCCCCCTCTCAAGTTGGAGGGTGGTAGAGATCAAGAACCTCCAAGTTGTGTAATAGCTTGGAATGAATGTGACTTCCGAGTGCTTTAGTCAACAAGCCAGTTGGTTGCTTTGCAGTAGGAATATATGCAGTCTATATGAGACCAAGTTTGAGTTGATCTTTGACCATATAGCAATCAAGATCAATGTGTTTTATTCTCTCATGAAACATGGGATTAGAAGCTATATGGTTTGTAGCTTGATTTGTAGCTTGATTATCACAATGTAGAGGAATGGGCAGTAGTTGAGACTTTGAAACACCAAGTTTTGTGAGGAGTTGTACCAGCCAAAGAAGCTCACACATAGTAGCAGACATTACTGATTTGGAAATGGTTGTTTGCCTCTTAGATTTCTAGGATATTAAAGATTTACCAAGGAAAACATAGTAGCCTGTCACATATTTTCTTGTCATAAGACAAGATGCCCAATCTAAGTCACAATAGGCTGACAAAGTCATACTATTTTCTACTGGAAAGAATAAGCCCAATCCTGGTGACGTCTTGACATACTTAACTATCTTAAGAGCTACTTTTAGATGTGATTCCTTAGCTTTGTGCATAAATTGACTGAAAAACTCAACTATGGTCTAGTCATACACAAATATAGCAGCTTGCTTACTAACCTTTGATAANGCTAGATTATATCTTTCTGTTTCTTTCTCTACTCAACAAATCGCTAAGTTTCCTTGCTATTTGTCATGTTTCTAATTTCTATTATTTTCTAGCATATATCTAATTTCTGTTCATTTCTCATATATCTCTAATTTCTTTTCTATTCTTATAGGCTTCTATTTTCTATTCTTCTCTATTTTCTTTTCTTTTTTATTTTTATGAGCTTCTATTTTCTTTTCTTGGCTAATCAGACACGCAATAATAAAATAAACTCTTTAATCTATGCATAAGATGCAATGCATATAAAATGTCTGATGCATATGCAAATGATCATGTTTGTATTCTTTCTTAAAATTATTTTCTTTTCTTTATGAAATTTTTTCTGTTTTCTATTTCTTATTCTATTTTTCTTTCTTTTTCTCTTTCTGTATCCTGTTCTGGTTTGCCAATCGGACTAGGCTGAGGCATGAATTTGGAACACTGGCTGTGTAAGCGTATTCTGAAATTCTTTTTGGGTACAGTCCTCATCCACATGCACTTCTAGTAGACTGTACAATTATGTTTTCTATTTTAAGGCCGCTCACTGATGGCGACATGTATGTGGGAAACTTATGCATCTCTGTCGCCACTAACTAATGCAGCGAATGCTCACAGGTTCCCCATCGCAATAGCCCTCTGAAAACATGCTCTGTAAATCTGAAAAATAACTAGCTAGATGTTTTCCAATAATTTTAACATTTCTGAAATACATGTTATGCTATGTCATATATTTATATGATGTCTATGCATGATCCCGAAATACGTGTTTGACTTAGCATGTATTATATTAATTCTAAGGCTTTTATTTTTATATTTTTCTGGAAAGCCTAAAGTTCTATTCTAGTAACACGATTCTATAATTTATACATAATTATATGCATCGTGTGTACGTACGCGATTCTATAATTTATACATAATTATGTTATTCTTCAATTCTATCATGCTATGTAAAATATACACGTACAAAATTACATTATCCCTCACAAATTCTATGTAACCACTACTGAAAGTTAATACAATGCATGCATAATAACAATAGAAAATGGGGCCCAAAAACTTTCTTTTCATTATAAGTCATATGTCTTTTATACACAAAGAGTATTGTTTACAAAAAGACATTTTTAAAAGACAAGACAGGGGAAACAGTGTAGCTATTGCTCCTCGCTTGCCGACGCCCCTCCGACTGCATCACCTAGATCCTGCATCCACAAAGGAAAAATAACGGAGTGAGCACAAAATAATGCTCAGTAAGTAAAACCCTCTATCTGTCTGTCCCCGTATGTATTACTCTTAATTCTTTCCTTATACTATTTTTGTTTCTATTTCTGTTTCTACTAAATGTCATGGCCTCATCTTACTGGAGGTACAGTCGGATGGTGTTCACACAGCACCATCTCACTCTCTATGACTATCGGGTGGAATTCACACAGTACCAACCTGTTCTTAGTGACTACCGAGTGGGGATCACGAAGCACCTACTCGGTTTTCATAACTATCGGGTGGAGACCACCTAGCACCTACCCGTTTTTCATAACTTTCGGGTAACGATCACCAAGCATTAACCCGTCTCTAATCACTGTCGGGTGATGATCACAAAGCATCAACCCACTTCTAATAAATGTCGGATGATGATCACAAAGCATCAACCCCTTTTCTAATAACTAATCGGGTGGTGGTCACAAAGCATCCACCCGTTTCTAATACTTATCNACGTATATATCCTTAAAGAGAGAGCTAAATACATACAAAATAAACAAGCAAAAAGTAATGAAATGAATATATCTGGTGCAATTAGTGAGCTAGACACAGGAAAAATAGAAAATTAAACTTCAACGGCAGATTCATAAGATCAAAGTTTAGATTAAACATACATTATATAGAAAATACTCTAGAAATATCCTTACAAATCCATAGACAAACATTAACACATAACATAACAGTAACCGTTATTCTTAAATAACAGAGGAACAAATTAAGGAGACAACTAATTTGTTTCATGATGTCGGCAACTGCAAATCTCCTTTCGAAAGTGCTGTGTTTAAATTAAAGCCCTCTGCTAGTCAGCTATATTATGTATTTATTTATGGTAATAATATGACTTCCACGTTCATATAAATATTTTCATCTCTGCAAAATTCATAGGGGATGATCGTGGCCCAGTCTCGGTTCCCAACCATCATCAGTCTTGATGATGAGCTTCAGGCCTTCTTCCAAGGGCAAGGCACTGTGGAGAACAAGCCCTGAACATGCTCAGGTTTGTTAGCTCTCCATGAGCCATCCATATTTCATTTACTTTGGTAACTGAAGAATTTCTGACGTGAAGTCTGTATTTCTGGTGGAACATGAAAATTCAAATAAGCCATCCATAAAGGAAATGAAAAGCCAAGAAATAATAAAATCATTCAAAAAAAAAAAAAAACCCTTACTTGCAGATGGCTTTTTACTTCATCAGACGTGAGCCCTTCAACTTTCATGTATTCTTTTATTTTCTTAGGAGTGGCTGCTGCTAAACAAAATAATTAATTATATAAAACTTATTGAAAAAAAAAATACTTCAAATAGAATAGTACTACAACTCAATTGATGGTTTGTTAGAACTTAAATGTATCATCTTAGGTTTGTTTTTCTTTTTGGATTTTGTGATAACTTAATATGGTATGAAATCTAAAGTTCTTATACTGGAATCTCATTCAATCATCTTAAAGGCTTTTTTTGGTGACATCAGTACCTTCAAATCTCACCCAAAATAAACAAATTATCATGAAATTAAAGACTCAGTCAGTAAATTTCCACTTCTGAACAAGATATTAAAGGCCCTGACCTTGCCATCCTCCAAGATGTTCAAGTGCATCCAAAAAGAGCCTGTGAAGTTCAGGCGGCCAGGTCCTCCTTGCTTTCTTGGGCACAAATAACAGTTGTTCTGCTGTGTACACGAACTTCATTCGGCTAACTTTGCCTCGACGGGTGGCAAGAGCTAGTGAAACCTCCTTTCCTTGTTCAACTACAACCTCTCTATCAGATTCTTCCTCAAATGCCGCCTCTCTGTTCCTGTCATCACTAACCTGAACTGGGTTCTCGATAGCAGACAGATCTTCTTCTTCACTTTCCTGCTAACAAAGAAACCAAAAGTGATAAACACCATTTTCCTAAAATCTAAAAAAAAAAAAAAAAAAAAAAATTCCATATACCATATTTGTTTCTGATGCTGAGTACACCTGTTTGAGATCATCGTTGATATCAGAGCCCCAAATCGGAGCAGAACTCATCCACTCTCTTTTAGAACTGGAGTCATTTAAACCTATCCTTTCAACTTCTTCTTCTGAATCACCCTTCAAGTCCATGAATTTTTGAGTTTTAGAGCGTTGTTGCGGTTTTGAGCACTGCATTAACTCCTTCTTCACCCTCTCAATAGCTATACAAACCCATATATATCTCGTCATAAAATAAAACAAATAAATCAAACACAAAAAGAAACCAAGAAAAGAAAAATGATCTTTGATCATACCATCCTTTAAGATAAGCATGCAGAGAGGAAGCTGACGTTCAAAACCTTGGATCTTCTTCACCTCATCCTCCAATCTCTTACAGTAATCACCAAGCATGAATAACCTCTGAGATCTCCCTCTGGTTCTTGCAACTTCCCCAAGAAAATCATTAATTTTTTGAGGAACAAAATCCAAGTTTAAATCAAGGTTCATGAGTTCCATGGGTGCTTGCTGTAGCTACTGTGTTTTTTGTCTTCTTTAATAACTTAAGGGAGATAAGGATGACAACGAAACTAACCCTGTATGTGCATTTATATTGGGAAGAGGATAGTTTATTATATTAGATTCAAAACGCAAGGATTCCGTAACGTAAACACAGTAGAACCGCACTCGAGTCGTCGCATAACAAGCTTCAACTCAGTAACCGGGTGGGAGAGGTACAGTAACTTTGTTTTCAATCGGTGACTTTAGTAACTTCTGCTGGGTGGCTTTTGAGAAACTTAGAGCATGTCCATGCTGCTATTTATTTGAAATAGTGTCTTTTGTATACCTTTATTGATTTTTAAATATAATTAATAAAATTTTTATTTAAATCTAATAGACTCTTTAAATTTTAAAAGATAAAAAATGTTTTGTCAAGAAAGAAAAATAATAAGAGAAATAAATAATAAATAAAATGTATAAAAACTTATAATTTATTATTTAAAATTAGAATATAAAGTGAAATTTGACTCTCTAGATGTGGAGAGTCAAACTCACTTTTTACTTTATATTTAAAAAATAAAGAGTTCGTTAGACTCTTGTTTCTATGGATAAACTCTTTATAATAAAAAAGTTTGGGTCATATAAAGAATCATTTGGAGATGCTCTTAAAAGTAACACTAGGTAATAAAAAGCCAACATAAAAAGTTGGCCTATAGGCTTGTTTACATGGAGACTATAAGAATAAGAAAAAGTGTAATGTTACATTTATAACTTAATCTTATAAACTTTTTCTTACAACTTTAAATAAAATTAGTTATAAACTAATCTTATAAACTTTTTCTTACAATTTCGACGTAACAGTTTATAATTAATCAACTTACAATAGTTCTTAATATTATGAATCAAAATTTTTTTATTGAAAATTTATATTTTCTTTAAAAAATGTAACGTGGAATTTATAATACCAGTCATTATATTAGTAACATTTTAACCTCAACTGGGGATCAAACTAAAAGACATTAACATGAGGTTACATTTTACTAATGGCCTATTATTGAAAATGGTGATGGAAAAGGTGGACATAATTTTGATTTCAAGCCTCCTTGGAAGGGATTTGTGTAAAGGGCTTTTAAGTTTGTTTAAATTTAAGCACATTTTTAGATAAATGTAATATTATTGTCTCTTTTATCTATAAAAAAATTACTCCATCCATTCCAATATATATGTCATTTTATACTTATTATTTTTTTTCTAAAATAAGTGTTTGACAAAAAGTTGAACGACCCTCTCTCTTTCTCGTTTTATGGCCCTGTCTCTCTCTTTTTCTCTGGCCTCTCATCTCCTCTCTCTCTCTCTTTCTTTTTCTATTTCTTGGTGTGCCTTTTATTTCAAGCAAATTCAAAATCTATTTTGTCTCAATTTTGAATATGTCTCTAGTTCTCTACGCCTTAAACTGACACCAATTTTAGCTCATTATAGAGAACTAAAAACATAGTCCATGTTAGTCTCTTTTACATTAACTTTAATCTTTGCTTCTAATGTTGAAAGTACATTCAAATCGATTTCTCCAAAAGCATATCTCCTACTATAACATTGTTTACCCATGATGATTAGTGAAAAAAAAAAAAAGATGAAATAAGGTGAAAAAAGAAAAAATACTATAATTTAGAAGGTGTTACTACTATAATGGCGTAATGAGAGGAGTAATACGGCATAATAAGAGAATAAGTAATACAGCATAACAAGAGGAAAAATACGGTAAAACCAAAAATTTTCCCACCCGAAAGAGAGTAATTTTAAATTTGATAATTTGTCAATTTTTCAATTATTAACAAATAAATAAAAGCCGACAAAGTAGGAAAGAAAAACTTTGAGTCAGCTTTTGTTAATGTAAAAACAGTGTCAACAAATTATTGACGAGGATTTGTCTACATTTAAAAATTATTTTTTTTATAAGAGAAAAGTATGCCATCATTAGTTTATTAAAAATGGTGTAATTTACTAAAACGACAAATATTTTGAAACGAAGAGGGCATATTTGAGTGAACGTGATTTTCTGGATTTTCTTTAAGGTATTAATTCTGAAAGGACATTATTTATTCCATTCCCTCAATCCTCTTAACTTTATTTGTATACACAGATAAATAGTTAAAATTGATTATGAAGAAGGGTGGGTAAAGCATGGTGAATTGATTGTGGGGGGCTAGGGTGCCCATCCCAAACTAAATTTACGATTGACACGTAGCACTAAAATTATGACGAGATACAGTAAGATAGTCCTTGGTTGTCTTGTCAACCTTAAGAAACAGTTGTCATCCTCATCAGTTTNTTTTTCCTGCTAATTAGAGGTAGAATGGTCAAATTGCCCTTAGAGAAGAGAATATCTAAAACTTAACAAACATGTTGGTCGGACTGTCGCCGCGGCGAGGAAGCTTCTGTCGCCGCGGCGAAACTGTCCAGAATGTTTCCCCATGGGTTCAACACCTCTTCGCCGCGGTGAAGATTCTTCTTCGCCCTGGCGAAGCTTGGCACACTGAACTTCTTCTATTTTCCACCAATTTCAGGACAAGTATTCAACACAACACTCAATCAAAGGTCAACTAAACAATATTACCAAGAAACCAACTCAAATAAGAGCAAAAGAAGAAACAATAGCTACGTACCTCAAGTGGGGCGTTACATTCTACTCTTCTATAATTATATTAGTGAGATATTAAAATGGCACAATTTAACTAGGGAATGAATTCTACATTTTGGGCAATCTAATTTCTTCTATAAAAATCTACGCCACAACTTAGGTATTAAGTCTACTAACTTGCCCAATTATGCTACTAGATTTTCTCAAATTTATATATATATTTATATTTATCACATAACCATGTCACTAAACTACTCTCTAGTATTTTCTAATGTTACAAACATGCCCTGTACAACTTTCTAAATACAAATTTTAATGCCATAAATTTGCATTCTCTTAACATGACCATCAACATTATTATATATGCCCTTCTTTTTTCTTTTCTTTTGGCTACATTCTATATATTAATCTATATTTCCATATTAATCATTATAAATACAATCTAACATATAGCATAACATATATACTTTGGCTAAATTCTAATTTATTTCTAACATTCTTAACTAAAACTTTTGGCCAATACAACATATTCTCAAGATCTTCTAGCACAATTATATAGCTTGTAATATATAATAAGGCATGAAAACTATACTCATACCAATCAATTTCTAAAATGGTCATGTATTTAATACATAAACCAAACTTCTATTTCTTTGATGTTTCTTTTGATGTCTATACTTGGGAAATCTTTTCTATTCTTTATACAATAAAATCACTTATTACATGTTGTTTATAACTAATCTCAAAACAAGAAACAACAATAACTCATTTGGGCCAAGCCTTCTTGATGATCGTTTGTCATTTCAAGCATACAAGCTGTGACAATGTTATGTGGTCATATTGTAATATTATAATATAATCTCACTCTCTTTTACTTATCAGCAATCAGTCGACCCTATTGGCAACACATTAATATCAATCTGCCACTCACGTTTCTAAAGTCATAAGTTTCAAAACTCTAATTCAATGATAAATACAATATGTCATTCAAACTAATGCTAAAAGTTCAAGCAACCTTGAACTATACACTAAAGGCCAGTCATTGCATTGAACTACCATAACCCAGTGTTATTCTAAATTTTGACATAACAAATGCACTCTTAAACACTTAAACTTATACTTGGTCAAGTCTAATTACAACCTTGTAACTCAATTCTTTCCTTTCTCAAACATTCTTTAACAATTTATGATAAATTCATGTCTGCGTGAATTCTTTTGGAAATTTCACAAACAACACTTGCATGCGCATATAAGTACATGGCTGACCACACCACCCATCCACACCTCCCAAATACCTTAAGTTGAAGAAAATTCAACAAAACCCAGCCCCTATTCTGGTCGAATCAACACTTCCAATTCCAACATCAACTCTTCAAAATTCATCCAGGTTCAACCAAAACATCACATCTACATATACTCATCTTGGCTGAACTTCTACACATTATTCTCTATCAAACAAGCAGCTCAACACAGTCATACTTCTTATCATACATCATACCACAAACACTCAAGAATCAACTTACACATATACTACTCAAATTAAGCTTAGATTGGGTTACTTATCTTGAATTTGTACAACACTAATGATTCAAATCTTCCTTTTGCTAATTCTTTTCCTCTTGGTGCACCCTTTGGATGCTTTATGAGTTGAAGCTAACAAAATTTAAAAAACCCTATGAATTCCTCTTGAAATTTGATGAGAGCTTGAGAGAAAATGGCTGAAGGTGGCGTGCTCAAGGATAAGAAGGGTAGTGGTTTTGTCATTGAAGCCTATAACATATATATATATATATATATATCCCTTTTACCCTTGCACTTCTAGAAATAGTCTATGTCCTTTAGTCATTTACCAAATTACCCTCATTTGTATCATCTTCTTCACATATTTTGCTCTCCTTACACTCATCTCCCTTTTTCATCTAATTGTGGAGTGAAAGGCATTCCTTATCCTTATTCTTTAATTTCTTCATATTACTTTACAAACACGTCTTTATCTCGGCATCACATCACGTGTATTTTCATAACTCTTTCTACCATCTATTCTCATGGCTAGCACACTTAATACATTATATTTATCATGCTCACTTTTCATTGAACACGTGATTCTATGTCAAGGACCATTTGCCCAATATTAAAACTTTATGGAATTCCTCTCTAAAACTAGTAAAAATATATTCACTATTGACTTAAAATATCCCTACAATATTTCTGAATGTGGGTATTACAAGTTTTAACACAAATCACAATAATTAAAGATACATAAGGGATTGCCACTATTAAAATTATGAAGATTTGTGAATAATCGTTGTATAATTGGGTTGAAATGATAAAGATGATGAAGATATAGGATCATTCCTGTGGTAAAAGGACAAGTTAAGTATGCTGAACCATTCTATAAAAGTAGTTTTCTCCTCATTAATAAAACCAGTTTAGTTAAGGAAATGAGCAAGAGGATTAAGTGATTAAAATGAGTCAATACTTTTAGATGTTCCCTTGTTCAAGTAGATACTCCGTCCGATTTTGTGTAAGCAAACACTCCTTT